CTATCTGAATATTGACATGGTTCAAAATCATGTGCTTGACAAAGCAATGTTGTAATTATTTGAATTAGGAAGGTCGTAAAGAAGACAAACAATAGAAGACCACCGTTAAATACATTAGGATGAAATACATATAGCTAAATAAGGAATAAAGCTGTTGTTTCGTCCTGATAGCACTCGTCAGTGACGTTAAGTCTCTGATGTTCGAGGTCTAAGAGGCGACTGAGGCAGAACCAATGTACTTTTACCCCGTCATTCATACCTTTACATCACTTTCGTCAAGGTTTCTTTTCCCGTGGTCGCTTCCTAATATTCTAGACCTGACGAGTTCTAGAAGGACGAAACAGTTATAAGATACTGATGAATGTTTTGTTTGCCTTGGGTGTATAGGCAATCATAGAATTATAAACTTGTATTTAAATATGTTACTCACCATGTGTCGTGTGTGATATCCTGGTAAGAACCTCTGGTAAGATAGTCTAAATCTTGGATTTTACAAACTCAGAAAAAAATGTATCGGTTTATTTTTCTAAACTGAACATTATGTTATTCCTTTGAAGACAAAATTAAAGAGGACTATGGGAAATCAATCCATGCACTATATAGATACTTCTATAAACAACGAATTCCAAGAACAATGCATTCTAAAACGTAACAAACACTGTGAAATCTGTTTTTTTTTTTTAATGTACAGATGAAGAGATTATAGCGTAAACAAGGTTTTAAATGAGACTTCAAGAACATGTTTTGTGACTTTATCATTGTGGGAAACAAAATAAATTATCTATCTTACGATTACCCTCAGACGCGAACCAAATAAACAGAATTTCAATCCTTATTGTTCCGCTCATATATTTTTTAACTCAATTTTTTATATCAAAGTCAAATACAAAGTTAAAAAAAAGGTATGAAAATATAGCACGCAATATCAAAGATCTGTATTCTTTTTAGAAGTGAAAGTATTATGAACATCTATCAAAGTGTGAGGTTAACCTCTTTAGAATGAGGTATTTAAACGGGATTTGGGACTCGATAATAGAAAGAAAAAAATGTGATGCTTTACTTGATGGGTAACACAACGAATTCCTTAACCCTTTGCAAGTGATTCTTACTTTTCAATCCACATTTGATGCAGGTTTAATAATACCACTCCGACGGTTGATTATGTTATGTAATCTGCGGATGACTGGATGTTCAAGAATATTATCCCGAGCGTAAAGATTTCTTTGATACACCCTTAAGAATCGGATTTTTATGCAACTACTCATTATGAAAATACAAAAAAAGAAAGTCAAATATAAGTAAAAATTTTAATTTAATTCAGGATGATTCAGTACAAATATTATTACAATTTATATACATATTTGATATAAATTAATATTTCAGTCATATTGTTTTGAATATTGACTGACATTTGAACAAACTAATTACAATTATGCGTTTCTCCCATCATAAGAAAATATATTTGCGTATGAAGATGTACAATTGTATTGAGGTATATTGCTTCCAGTCCTAACACACATGCGAACACAGGATGGTCTAATGGGGACAATCTAGACTAGCTTGGCTGTGCATGGTCACGTGCGTGAGCAGACACTGACAGAAGAAACACACCGCAAACGAGGGGTTTATGATAAACATAATCTGTTGATTGAAACGAAGATTTGAACAATTTATTGCATATTAAGTCGGTAAGAAGTTCATTTGTAAGTATATAACAGTTGAACGTTAACAGCTCATCTTCTTTTGACAATTGCTTTACTTAATACACAATAACAAAACACGAATCATCTTCTTCACCTGACTATAACAGATTTTATCATATTTGTCGTCGAAAGCTTTGGTTAGAAAACAATTAAAACATATTTTAACTAATCTAAAAAACAAAAAACTAAAGCCTTGTTCTGTAACGAGCTAAAACACTATTAACACACCGCATTGGTTAAACGACTGCAAATGTGAAATGTCCAGCGTGTTTCCTCTCATAATTACTATAAATTCTGTTAACATTCCAGCTACTTGCAGTTAATTGTGTCATATATATATATAATGCACCCATGATATTTGACGATAACGTGTTTGCGTCTCAACACACCTGTTCCACATCAAACTAACCATCATTCTCGCTAGTATGATAGATGTATTGATAAACTGATGTTACGTTGTCGTTATATTGTTAAGCATGTCATGTGTTCTTACAATGGTTGTCAGGTGATAGTATATACACTTACCAAGCACCTTTGTACTCTACGTGAACCACAACAACGGTTAGCTCACGTATTATGCAATTACATAGGTGATGGATGCTGAAATGAATCAGTTTCGAGTCACTTTCAGATGTGTCACAAGTCAATTATGTGATCATATCAGAACTACATTTAATTTGGTCCAAGTGCACATCAAACTGTCAACACTGTTAACTAAAAATATGACTGATGACAATGTTGTGATAAATATGCTTAAATATTAGATAGCAAGTTTCATTATTGTCCTTGAATGTCAACATACAAAGAGTTTGAAATAAATAGATATTTACGAAGTTGTCATCAACGTTTATGATAAAATAACCTATTGTTATCACATTAACGACGTCATACATTTTGTATATATATCCAATATTGACAGATGCATATGTAGCATTACATATATTTTATAATATGGAAAAGATACATCGATGATTATTTACTTGTCCAACTTGGTCTCGATGAGAAAAAAAATTCTCTGTTTCCGTATAAACTTGACATATTAAAGGTATGAAATAAATTTTGTTCTAAATATCACGTAAAAAAACTTTCGTGTGGGGATTTATGCTTTATAGAAAAGAATATCATAGATTGAGATAAATTAGGTCAGTGTGCTTGGTTTGAAGCAAATAAAATGGGTAGTGTTTACGAAGGTTTTCTTTGTTTTTGCTTTTAAGAAAATAGGTAACGGTTAAATGATTTAATGCATTAAAAGAATGATTAAAAAATACGAAATGAAAATTTCAACGGTAATAGATGTAAAATAATGAGCGTATTACAAGTTACCAAATGAATGGAAATGAACAAATAAAAAAAAATTAAATAAATAAAAAATGGCGATATTTCAAAAGCAAAGAGGGACATAGTTTTGTTAAGTGGGAAAACTCGAGAAAAGAATATGATTATATTGGTGATAAATTCGATTTGTTTCAGCGAAACATATCTTATAGAATTATAATATAACTAAGATATCAGAGGTTTCATAGTCATGTATATTGTATGTATTTGTAGTTTCCATGGAAATTAGTCACGTATTTTCATTTATGCGAATCCTCATCCTTCACTACAACTTCATTGTGCTCATCTCAAACATGTTTAAGTTACATAGTTTTATATTGAGGTTGTAGCAAACGTACAATCATATTAAAAATGTTTATAACAGTCTTGAATGATATTCTTATTCAATACCAACACGGTGATGGTAATTTTCTTGAACAATCTAACTTTGAAAATCAGGTATTGTTTTTATTTAATGCAAACTCATTTCGTACGTAAACTGTAAATCATGAGAGTACATTTTAAATATAACTAATTTATGGAAACTTATTTGAAATTCATATTATATATGCCAAATATTTCATATCTTATTACCAATGAAAATATGTTGAAAGACAAAGACCACATCTTATACAAGTTATTTTCTTCTTGACAATATCTAACATGTATTTGAAAAAAAAATTAAGAGTCTAACACATTTCGTTTAGTTCCAATTTGATAAGGAATAGTGTGTATATGTAAACAAAGCACGTTTCACCTAGACCTGATCGCTGGTAATGAGAATATAACCCAATGATGTTGTTTCTGTTTATCATAAAATGAATGAATACAAAATACGTTTTGATGTTTTTTTCTTGTATGTTTTCCTTCGTTTCAGAAACTATAAATGCCTACCATACTTATATGAAAAGCTCAAAAATGTTCTCCGGAACGTTACCTACTTGTTGATATAAATACGTCACTCCATCCACGTATTCACTATTTACAACAACTTTATCTATTATAACTATCATTTTTACACACATTCATACACCATACTAGTATTCACAAAAGATCCAAACATATTGTGAAGGCATATATCACGTATACTTTACATGCAATGAATTTTCATTGCATTTTACACTACACAATTCATGAAAATAATAATATTAGTTATGAAAAGTAAAACCAAATTAATACACAAGATTCTATTTGAACTTAATTACACACATATTTATATAACAATAATTTACTGAATACATATTTGTATATACAAATGTTGAACAAAACTGAAGTATAGTTAATATCACATATCTATTACTGCAGAGTAAGTATTACGATTTCTTTCAGGCGTTTGGGATTTAACAACTTCGAAATTCAAGTGCTGCGCTATCGATCTACTTAATCACTTTGTGCCCGTGGACGGATTCTGACAAAACCAAAGGTTTTGCATGCGCCACCATGCGGATGATTCGCACTGACGCGTTTAGAAGTGAATCACGCATCTATGTGATCTCGTTGATTAGGAGTAACGGAATTACGTAATGGCTTAGACGTAAATATTACCTTCTCAGGCCTGGAATTTGTTTCTTTCTAATTCAAACAGTACATATTATTGAAAAGTTCATTTAACATTTTCTTGTCAAATTAAAAAAATTGTTGGGTGAAACGAATATCTAACTGCCTACCTTCGGTTTTGTCGTCATATATTCCATGCTCACAGAGATGTTAAGTAAAGTTCGAAAGAAAAACATTTGCATTTCGAAGATGTTAATATACTGACCTGCGTCATGTTCATATTCCGAGCCATATTAACTGTCTAGCTTCATATGATGTATGAATGATCAATTCTAACCAACTGTGTTATGACTTGCGTACAAAAGAGATATATAAACAAGATCATTTTTTTCTGATTTGGTTGAGCATATCTAAGTCTGGAAACTATCACTTTATAAAACAGGGATTTTAAAGTATTGATGTAATGCAACTAATTATGTCGTAAGAATAACCCAGCAAACGTATAACGATAGTGTAATTCAGGGCTTAATTGAAATGAAACAACCAACACAATGAAAAGAAATCGTTACTGGCTGCTCCCTTGCATATTATATGGACGTTATAGTGAAAACATGTAGGTGAGCTTTCTTTGTCCTTATATGGTTTGTCACGTCTTTGCGAGTTGTTGAATCAGATAATTTAAAGTCAATGAAACAGCTAATATTCCTGCAAAATGGCTGGAGAAGGTTATGCAGCAGTGATTTTTTCCACCATTCGACGTACCTGTAAAACACCAGTAGATACCTGTCAACATCTTGCAGTCAGCACTTTGTCAGACAATCAGCAGTTCAAAAGAGTGAAGGTATGTACTTTGTAGGTCTATTGTTTTCTATTGATATTGAAATAATGCTACAAGGACAAAGTTATGTATTAATTTGCGATGGATATGCACTTTTCATATAGGATGAACTGATTCAAGGAATTAATTATTATTTACACAATGAAATACATAATTATATATCTTTTTTAAAATCTAAAACAATCTAAGATACAGCCTAACTATGAATTAAGATGATATATATAACGTGAAGAATGTTGTTACACCAGACAGGAAGTGGTCATAATAAGTCCTCTCTAGACAGATTTGACGATGATAATTACAAAGCGTAGTTTAGATATTTTATCAATGTTAGTCAACAGAATGTGTTCATCACGTTCATATGTGGCAGAGAAGCGCTCTCATACATATAGATATACCAAATCGCATTTTAATTTTAACCGCTATTATATTTGTTCATATTGAAATTGGGTAATTACGTTAATACCGCATTACCTGAGACAGAATCTATCACTTCTGAACGTCTGTTGTGAAATGTTTTCAGACGTCGTGTAAAACGATGTAAGTAAAACGGGACGTCACACAATACAATGCTTGACAAGAAAGTCAAGTCATAAATATTTTCGTTATGAAATGATATACAAAGAGAAGAAATAAATAACATAAATACACATAAATACGTCGAGGATTATTACATATGGTGTTGTTCTGAGGAGGGTAATTCACACACTAGAACGAAGAGAGATTGAACATGCTATCACATACAGAACGCCACTTGCATGCACAACTGACTTCAAAGAGCAATGTGGAAGGACCCCGTTCTTAGCATTGCTAACTTAATCATTCATTTTACAGTTGAACATTACTTTATCATCAAAAGATGAATCCTAAATATGACTGCACAGTCAAGCTAGTCTAGACCTTTCGTCAATCGGGTATGAAGTGAAAAAGCATTTATGATCAATTATATCACTAACACAGACACATCAAAGGTATTGATTTTTATATAAATAATTTCTCGTCGAAGTAGACATCTTGTGATTTTGCGCATTTAAACTGGTTTCAAGCAGAGGTTGATTTGTATTTATTACAACATGATAGAAATGCTTAAAATCGTTATTTACATGTTGCAGTGTAATTAATATTGAATGTCGATTAACTAAATACAGTTTAAATAAAATGTTTGTATCCTGACATATCTGTGTAATAAACCGGAATCCTATAGACGGTATTGTTTGCAGCCGAACGAGTCAACGACATGTCTGGTCTTTGAAATGTTTTCCTAGTGTCTCATGGGTTGTTAAGAAATCGTAAAAAGGAACAACTGACTTTAATGTCAAAGTAATATGGCGGACATTACACAAATTTACTATTTATGTTTAAAATGAGGGGAATGTTGATATGAAATATGTATTATCACTTTACCAGATTTAACAATAGAATCTTTAATGGATACCATCCAATGCTGTATAGCCAGTTATTTTTGCGAGAATGTTATCTTCACTATTTTTCTGGTGTATAAATGCGATCGCTAAATTTCGTGTAATGATACGAGACACGCATATGCTATATTACCTTTGGCATCTATATCGCTGAATTTCATTTCGTTTCGATATCATTCGGTCGTTGAAAGAAATACGTCAACAATTTTGACCCGTGAAAATTATCAGCTGTACAGTAACTGATATTTAGGTGAAAGTAAGCGAACAAATTACACAAAAATCCCTTCTATAAGACAAGGTATGACATTCTTGCTACTGAGATAATCACGTGATATCCCTTTATGACATCACAAAGCAGTGATAATATGAGTGTGATAAAATATACTGGATTTCGGCTGCTAAAATTCAATATAACTAGGCCAGACATTTGATAGCAATAAGAAGTCAATTCGTAGACAGAAAGACTGAAGAACGTCTCCAAAAATCTTAAAATGAAAACAAAGTATCTGTTATAGTCCGAAATATTAGGCATTTGATGATTCCAACGTGTTTTAAAAAATTTCGTTTTTATGTTTATGAAAAATATTAGCATTTTTTTTTACAAATTGCAATTAAATTATCAAGTGTAATAATGACAAGTGTAATCATGCAAAGCTCATGGTTGTTTAAAGTTAGATTTAAATATCATGCAAAGAAGAAAGAAAACATTTTGTCGATTGAGATGTAGAAACAGATGACAGTGTGAATGGATAGGCCAATTATGCACCCGACAACGATCAGGAAGACCATTACAAGACATGCGAGAGGGGAAAGTAAGTTCAGGTTCATACCGGACACTGGCAGCCATTAAAAGATGAAAAATATCTTAATAATGAAAGATGGTGCTCAGAATAGTATGATAAATGCACTGATTTCGACGTTGAATTATGTTCATTTTATATTGATATGATTGTATACCATTGTATACATTGTACATATAATCCATGTACACAATAAATACATTATATCTATATGCTCCATATACATATACATATATCAAAATTCATAATAGATATATATGGAATGTAAGGAAAGTCATCACTTTGGCATTGCGATTTTCTCAGAAAGGTTAATTTGATTAATGTTTCTTCTATTTTTTGTTGATTATATATCGCACAAATGTTATTTAGCTCAGATGCAGAACTAGACAAACTGAGCACGACATCTTGTTGTAAAAAACGTCGTTAAACCAGCATAAGGGTTCTTTCAACACTGGGCAGATGCATGTCTGTTTCTACAAGAAGGATAGATAAATCGGCCTTGTACATAGTTTTATCAAGCAAAAAATTTCTCAGGCGAATCTTTCTTACAGAAATGTTATCATTTACATCACTTGATATCATCAGTATAGTGACATTTGTAATAAGTCAGCAATGACAGTGCTATGTAAATACTAAGCCCTCCTTTAAACTGTAAAATAGTAAATCTCGGGTTTCACACTATATCACAGAGAAATTAAAATAATCTATTAATGCTCGTCCTTTGGCGTATGCATCTATTTATAACCATATGCCTGGCAGAAATGAAGACATTTTCCTTAACTTTCTTATTTCAAAGACTTTTTCGATCATGGTAAATATGCCTTAATAACGTAAACACATCAATGACTGAATTAGGTGTCATGGAGTTAGACTATTCAAGTCTATCTTAAGAGATTTTTCTAATACTTTCATTTGTATCATCAGTTGTTTGTGCAAATGTTCCTCGTTGACATCTTTTATTTTGTACTATTTTATTTTGGTGAAAATAAAAAAAAAACAATGACATTGACTATTTAATCTGCACATTTTGATATAGTGAGATGTAGAATCTACTGGAGAATGCTATGTACATACAATGTAATCATATATATGTAAAACCTAGTTTCCTACCTGTCTTGTCAAATGAAATAAAGAATAATAAAATATAAAAAGATGCGGTTAAACTACCTATTTACCAGTGAAAATGATTTGTCCTACAACACGCAGATGACTGTATCAAATACTTAAATGTTTTTTTGGCAAATATATCTTTGCTTTAAACATCGCAGTTCTGATTTCGGCAGGTCTGCTGAAGGCCGAGTCATGTTTGAATGTTAGTATGATACATTTCCAAGAGGAATACATTTCATTTGACAACCTTTGAAATAAGTGGTTCATATTTAGTGAGTGTTGTTTGCAATATGTTACAATACCTTGCGAACATCTGCTTTAGCTTCACAAACAAACCTTCGTTTATATACTAGAATTGAGCGATTGATAATCGGACGGAAAATGCACGCCACTTTTCTGAGTGGCCGACATCATATATGCAAGCAATAGAAACATCGAAAGCACATTAACATAAGAGAGAATTATTCCTTGGAAACTTCCCGCGATTAGCACTATAAAAAGAAAAAAAATAGATCCTGATATAAATAAGATTTAAGCATAGATGCATAGAAGAAACCGTTTATCTAAATAAAGTGATATTGATTATAAACGACGCTATCGAATAGACAAAGCTAAATTGTAAGGGAAAAACAGCGAAAATGTTCCCGGAAGTGTAGACGTGATTTCCATATTGACTTTTCGCTGTGTAAATTTAAGGTCTTAGCAAAATTGATGTAAGACCATAAGAACATACATTTATAAAAAAAAGTATCCTTCTCCTAATTGGACGTCAATTAGCATTTGTGTGTGTGTGTGTGTGTGTGTGTGTGTGTGTGTGTGTGTGTGCGTGTGTGTGTGTGTGTGCGTGCGTGTGTTTAATCTTTTATTTAAAAGCAATGATTTACGCCATTGATTATTTGAGCTACAATTGTGTTAACATGATTACCGCTACATGTAACATAAACAAATTCCATTCAGAGGAATATTTATTACGTCATTAAACATAAATTATTTCCTTGTTACCATTTCTGTGTCTTTGACGTAATTAAAGACCATGATTCTGTTTCAGAACCAAATTAGTGTATGTTAGAATTGATATTACAAGGTATTTTACGAAGGAAAAGAAACAATAGACGGTCGTCAGAAAGATATTTAAATCCCTGACTTCGTTGGAGAGCTATAATATGGTACTTCTCCACTTGAATCACCACAACGATTTTCACAAATGGATAGAACGGAACGTCGTTCTAAGTCTTAACAAGAGTCATCGGTGGTAATGTTTCAGCAGCCAAATTGATTCTCAGTCTTGCTGATAAAATAAGAAAAGGAAATATGGGACTTCATGTAAATGGAAGAACAATGTAAAAGGCATAGCCCTTGACGCTAATGACAGTAGTAACAAAGCGACGAGAAAGCTTCTTGACGACGCTGTTTATCCATATCTCCTTCGGTACTGACAACACTTTTAAAGAGTTATGTCTTTTCGTTTAAAACATGTTCGTCCCGTGAGGCGATAAGGAACTTCTCCAAATTTTGTTTGTTAGAACGAAATATATTTTTACATGGAGAGTTTGACAGCAGACATAGAATATTGACCCATTTTTGAGTTAATCACTGATAACTAGAGAATGTCTCGAAATTTACGACTGTCACAGGAAATGCTATCTCCTATTAAGATCATTTAATTGTTCTAAACAGTGAAGGAAAAAAATGGAAAATATTGCAGTAGCGAAAATCAGATGACGTCAGCTTGCTGTAATAAACGTCTAACAGAAATTAACACCCGATGACATTTGTTTTTACATTCGCTCAGCTCCTATCAAATGTACTCAAATGTATTTGAAACCTGCTGTGAAGGTATGGATCATCCTGGTCTATCATTTAGTGAGAACGAAATATCTATGTATGCATATATATATATATATATATTGTAAAATTGTGGTGAATGTTACATGTCCAGCAAATATACAGGTAAAAGTGGAAAACACAAGTTGCAAAACATAAGCATTTTTATTTATTCTATAAATGTTTTGCATAGATACGAAATGTGACGTTACGAATAACAGTTCAAAAGTGACGTCATATTGACTCGATCGATAATATAGTAACAGTTTTGATTTAAGGTAAGGCTATTTAGGTAAAGGATTAAATACTTTTTTATGAAATTCTTTACTTTCCCTTTCTTTACCATATAAATGCGTGTATTTTGTTTACTATGCTATCATTTTAACAATTGTTAGATTATGGATCGGATAATTTATATTGGAATATACTGTTATAATATAAACATCGCGCTTCAAAACAACATCCACTTATAATGTAGCTACAATCATATACATTTGAAAACGTGATATTTTCGTTGTTTTGTTTGTATCTTTTTTAAATTTACATATCAACTAAATTTCATTGTTATCAATTGTATACTATTTCAGAAAATTAATATAAGTACTTTATAGAATAAGTATAAAAAATCTTACGAAAATACAAAAAGTATGCAGTTTTATTGTACGTAAGAAGAATATACTCACAGTTAACAGAGAAAAACACTCTACAATAAGCATTTGTGACCAGTGTGGTCGAGTATCAACGGACAATGACGTATATATATGAAATCATTGTTTCATTGTTTACACTTTTCATAATCAAGTAATAATTATGACAAAATATGTTTCGTTTAATCGTTTGTATTTAATCAATTGATTTATTCCTTGATTGATTTTATATCTATAAAACAGTTTTAATTATTCATTCTTAAGAGATAAGATTAAAATTCGCGAATAAAAAATCTGAATGATCAATCTAAATTTTGTTTCATATCTTTTAGCAATCTATTCTAGCAATCTATCAATTAGAAACAGAAGTAAAAAATGATTCTTAAGCGTGTTTACAAAGAGGACTTGCCTCAAAAATATTACGGTAAGCGTCTCCAATGATGCCGACCGTGTTGTCGACAACAGGGGCTGTATCAGCAAGCACCACGCAGCATACTTGTGTGTCTCTTAGTGCCTTTCCATTTCTCTTATCTCATACAAAATTAACAGCTTCTAACGTTTGACTCCATTGTCTGACTAGCTTGCTCTATCGTTCGTGAGATTTCGTTAACCGACGAAAGGCACATTTTTACATCATAGGTTTGCCGCTGCGAATTCGGAGTTGGATGTATAGTCCTATTCGATAACGTCTGGTGGTCCAAACTCATAACACTTAGTGACAGCATATGTTAAATATATATATATATACATTTCTCAACTTGATTGATTTTAGGTTGCAATATCGAATATATTTATGGGTAGTGGTTTCTGACAGCTTGGTTTCCTTTCTATAGCGGGCGTTTGTATATGCAGTGTTAGCTCTCTACCAGCTGTAGTCTGTACCAAGTTACATCTGTATTAATACTATCGAGGATTGCCTAGATACGAGATCGAATCAATTACACTTCTGCAGTATGAACAGTTTTCCTTTTCTTTTTTTTTTTAATAAATGAGACGGGGACCGAGTTTCTCGTTGAAAGTGACAAGAAATTGAAGAGCCATGTCAATGAGGAGGTTTTATTAAAGCCAAATCTCAACTTCAGTGTCTCCACCCAGTCGCTGTTGTTTATGCGCCACAAATTTTCTCCGTGAAAACAATGTCCTTAACCCTCTGGCTTGTGTTAATAGTACCAAATGTTTCTTTGAATTTTATGAATACTTTTGTTGCTTCTAAAGGGAATACTAAATCAATAAACAAAACAATTCCACTGAAATCAAATAGTTCTGAACAAACAACCTGACAGTGATGACGTGAACCCAGTCAACAATGTCTATAACTATTAAGACAATACAAAATGTACCAGGGACCCTTGTTCTATCGACCAATGCCAAAGTGATGATTGGCCGATTTCGATATAAGAATAGTTCTGACACCAATGAATTAATATTCCCAAGTCTTCCCATCTTGAAATCTAACTCTGTATTGAAAAAAAGAAAAATTGACTCACCTCTTTTGACGTTTTTACGAGATGTCCCTTCTGAAAAATAAACAATAAGTTTTACTGATAAACGATTTCGAAATCGTTGTTAGATACAATCAAGATAATAATAACACGTGAATATAAATGAGGTCCTGCTCCTAAGAAAACTATGTATCATATATCATTAAAACAAGACTGTAAAACCAATACAATGCATTTTCTACTAAGGAAAATCGTGCTGGGTCAAACACACTAAGTATTTACGATTTACCGCTGTTTATTGTTAATTATGGCGTGCATTTCAAGAGGAAATATCTCTATAACAACCAGCAGGCTAGATAGAAACGATCGCCGTGAATCATCAACATTGACGACCGTCGTTACAACAATGAGACCACAACAAAATGTCTGATACAACAGGGATACATACGATAACAAACATTAGCAAGTTTTCCATGACGTCAGTGTTCTGAGGTTCATGTAGTGCTTGTCAGGAACGTATAATGTGTTATTTCACGTATATTAGTATAAATGTCCTATCATATTAAACAATATCCGTTTGATTTAATTTTTTTATGAATTTATAAATATCATCACTTGTCACCACCAACAAAAAATGTTTAATACACTTTAGTGACGTCAATGGTAATGAGAACTGGCTACGTCCTAATGTGATGATTTATGGACTGTATTTGTCACAAGGTCACAATACATGTACATCATAATTCGATATATAAATATAAAAATTCTACGGACTTGTGTGCTTCATAAGTAAATTAACACAGACAGTGCAATGCATATATGCGATATTGGGATATATTTTCAAAGTGTATGATCCGGGCTATTAGGACATAAAATAAACAAAATCATATATGTATTTTTTTGCCGGATGATAAAATATAAAATGTTCGTAACACTAATACAACACAACACGAAATGCACCTGTAACACACTGCTTTCTATAGTAGCGGACACAGACAATTTTATAACGCCTTATAGTACATCAACGTTGGTTATGCTTGTTTACTTTCCAACGAAAACCCAATTATAAGTCACTAAATTTGTTCAACAGCAATACTTAAATTTACGAAGATATTCATTTTTAATGTTTTCGAATGCACCGCAATAACGTATTTCGTTCTCTACTACGCTTTCACAAGAGAAAAAAAAACGAAAGGAAATTTGCTCACATAGAAATATTGTGCTGTTGCCATAAAATAAATATTAGATGAGGTTTAAAAACAATTGTTATACCTTTACAAAAACTAAACAGTAAGGTGTGATTGTCAGGCGCTGTAACCATTGTCACGTGACCTTTAGAATATGTTTATCTGTCGAGAGAGTGTTCCGTTTAGTTAATGCGTTCACACCAATCCACCAAGTGTACACGATAATTGTTAAGTGGTACAGTTACAGACATCACATTAAACTTCATTTTGAGTTAACATAAGTATTGTTGGTTTATTTTTGCTTACATTATCGCGCTTAAGCATTCGTCTGTAAACTCCTCGTCTCTTGCCTTTTTGTTTTCACTCAGACACTTATAGATTCGATCGGTTTGTCCTCTGTATTCGTATAATTGGTTTCCCGCCTTTCCCCTACATACACGTAACTCCGTTTACCATACGGTTTTGTGTAAAAACATCTATTTCTTGCTTTTTTGTTTGCTAATATGTTGTTACTCACAACTGTGTTATGGTGTTCAATTACTGAACACTTATGAGTTTATGCTAAGTTTTGTCATGAGCGTTTATTTCAATTTGAATTTGTTTCGCCTCGACTATAGCACATGATCAATCATTTTTTTGTCACACGCCTTCGTACCACGTACCACGTAATACGTGCATTTGTCACTGCATTCATTCCAAAACGCACTGTAAGTATGATTTTTATGGCACCTGCAAGATTATCTGCATTTGCTACATGTTTTGATATTCGAACGTACAACGAATGCAGGACATTTTCGCATTGTCGTGATCAATCACACATCTGCACATGTTCCCTTCGTATTCGGTGGTAAAAACATTGTAATAAATCTGAGGATGGGAAAAGGCAACAGGGCATGAAAAGCAAAATGATCATAGCAAAGCAGCGAAACAATCAAAAGAAAGAAAAGATGACCTTGACCTACCATCCAGCACGTGCACATGATTGTTGGCGATCTTCAGGTCCGTGCTGCGACACACGTAAATCCCGGCGTCGTCTAATTTAGTGTGTTGTACCTCTAGCACGCTGGTAAGTATCCGCTTCTCATATGTAAGCTGAGTATTAATTTTTATATTGTTTGTAACACTCGGGATTAATTTGTTCCCATCTTTAAACCAGTCTATGTCTTCAGGGGCATGATATGAGCCCGTAGCATTGCACTGTAATCGGATTGTCTCCCCTTTGGTCACAAACTTTGAACCTGCCATTGTAACGGCTGAAAAATTGAAGGGCATTTAACGGTGGACTTAACCTGTAGTGCACTGCAAACTATGACTACTTCACAGCGAAGAAATGAAAATGAATAGAATATAGATTTAAGAAAGAAGTGTAGAGAAGGGGCATGCTTAAGAAGCTGTCTATGCAACGAAATAGTTTGCAAAAATAAAAAAAATATTTCATGGACATCTTGATGTAAACTTATTGTATTATAAAATATATACAGTCAACACAGACATCGGTTTGATTTGGTATGGCGCGTCATTACTATCAAATAAATATAGCAAAAGAAGACGTCGAAATGGGCTGTACGAAATACTTACACAAGAGATCAGTAATAAAGCTGATTCCATCTCTCAAAGACATCTCAACAATATGGTTGTTTTTTTTTAAGTTTATTTATTTCTACTTGATTAATCCAACCGACATCTTTGTGACTGCCTACACTAGATACTGTATATATAGAAGGGAGATAACCAATAAGGACTGCAGTCTTTGGAATTATCTGATTAGATACAAATGTACATTGAGTTGTATTGCTTAGAGATATTGCAAAGTTATATAAAATCCTATTTCACTTTGACAGAAATCTATCCCTTTTCTCGGCATATAGGAACACGCTTTCTGACGTGGTGACTGCTTCTAAAGTCGATGTCCGCTTGATGTGTATCACGTGATCTTGACGAGCCAATACGGGTAAATACGATAAGTAACGTTAGTCACATCGATGTCGACTACAAAATTTCAAAACTTTCTAACAATGACAACACAAATGCATTCTGTTAATGATACTCGAAACTTCACCAATAAAAACAAAAAGCCTTGTTTTGTCTTTTTAAACGAATCGTTACAGTCTGTGAAATAAACATTTACACGTGCCGAGATTTTGAAATCATCATTATTTGAACAATGATGAACGTTTCGCAATATAAGGTTTGAACATATATATCAACATTGTACATGGAAAAGTTTCCAATCCAAGTGAAATAGTTTTAGCAAGCAGGTAATAAGCTATTATGAAGCCACCCGTCACAGCATTACCGGGGGTACAATGCACTATAATTAGGGTGTAAAACGCTGATACGATGGTCTAGTGACCGCATGCCAGTCTAATTCAGTTAAACGTTTACATTACAGGCCACCGACTGAGTTTGCACAAACGCCTAAATGAACTAGACCGGATATTATTCTAGATCTGGATGTATCTTATATTATTTTCTACAAGAAGAGGGTTCCTACACGTGCAAGTAGTACATACTTGGTTTGGCTGTGGTCGGCCGCTCTGAAATGTGAGAAATAAAACCTTATTAGAAGCTAATCCGTGCAAATGGGCAAAACCATAAAACAAGTGTTGCTAAATTATTCATAGTATTATATCATCATATTGCAGTTAGTTCCATATCAATATCTACTATATTTATTTGCTGAACTCCTTGGCATTTGCTTAGACAAATTATTGTCCCTAACAACTGTTGTTATGAAGGATTATGTCTGTAAAATACCATAATCGCAGTGCTATACACGAAGTGATTTTGTATGGAAACAGTTAAAGCTTATGTGAAAAAAAAATGAAATGAAAAATAAGTGTAACTGAAGACGACAAGGGCGGAGTCATGCAGAGTTGTGCTGAAGTGAAGATAACTTCGTTTAGGGTCATATCGTACTTAAATCTATATTGGACGGGTCATATTGTAATGACCTAACAAATATAAACTAATAGACGGTACTTGATATATATGTATAGTATAAGTCATGTGATGTACATATATGAAAATACATTATATTGGCTTTTACCTATATCTATGTACTTCCTAATACAATTTCCTTTGTGTGTGAAGTACTTGCCTTCATGCGACTTTTGGCAGGTTACAAATCGTAAGTGTGAGATTGTTGTTCGAACGACCTTGGATATCTATGAAAGTTGGTGTTGCAGCCTCATTTATTTTAATTTACTGGGAAATGCCAAAGGGACATCGGTTTGCGTTCAGCAAATGTCATGAAGTTTGTTTTAATTATGTTTACGTAACATAATTTCAAAATAGCATAAACAAAAGGAATTAAACAGCCGCTGTTAAAGGACAAAGTCAGACTCCGAAATGAAACTTCAGCAAACCTGCTAAGTAACGGTTAATCTAGGTATTGGTGAAGACTACGGCGTCGAATATTGTATCCTTGCAGATTCAATGCCCTAGTGTCTTTAGCAATTCATTCTGGCGAGAAGATTGAAATGAAGTTCATCTCATGCTCACATTAGATTAGATTGAACGCTACAAATGAAGTCTATAAACAGAACAGCTCCTAAAAAATACCAGCATTGAACAAGAGAAGAGGAGAACGGATAAAATGGTTATTAGAGGTTCATGTAGTTTTAGGAAAATAGTCTGACTATGAAGCATGATGGCAACAGAGAGTTGATATTGATCTACACCACTGTGATACGTTTTAAACGTAGTTTTTGCTAAATGTGTTGTTATAGGGAATATAATAAATGTAAGAAAGTTCATTATACGTTCATCTTCTCCGATAAGAATGTATTGGACGCGTTCCTTAGTATTATGAAATGTATCGAAAAAATATAAATGCTTAGTTTATTTTATACTCTGCTGGGACATATAAATAAATTGTAAAGACAGAAAACACACAAACAATAAAAAAGGGGTCATCCCTAATTTTATCACAATATTCAATACGGAAAAATGTCACAAAACTATGCAAAAAAATACTTTCATTTAATTCTATTAAATATTTTCTTTATAGAGTATGCAAGGGTGTGGGTACATGGACTTGAAATGATATGGCACAATAATATTTTCATCGGAAGCTCTGTTGACGAGAAGTATACAAAAAATGGAGAACTACGGGAGTATTGAACTAAATAATTACTAAAGCTGGGTGAATAACAAGACAAAAGGAAAAAAGAAAAAATGACGTTGTCTTTTAATCACCTTTCCGAATCATGTCACTTTTATCTCCTTCGGGGGCCACTGAGAAACGAGATAAAACAAACAAATTGCAAAACGTTAGGGGATTATTTGATATTATGTATATCACATGACTAGTCACATGATTTTTTATACATTGATCACGTGATTGATAATGTGATGGTCGTTGCTTGATAGGCTGAATGTATCCGCTGGAGTCGCCTTCACAAGGACGGTGATATATTTACAATTCTAGCTTAAACACAAATTACATATTCACGACAATATATAACTGCAAAATGATAATATCCATATATTATATATGTATAAAAATGTTGAATTGCGAACTGTTGAGAAGTAGAGTTGGTGGTCAACGATGTACTGCTGTTCTCTGAATTTGACATCTTTTTTTTTGTTATCTGGGACTACAAGAATATTTTGTATACAATCCATGGTTACCTCACATACCAAACTGAGAATTACTTCAGCATTGTTATTCGAATTTCCATCTGTGGAACATTACCTTAAATTTTCCTTCATAAGCCAAAAGGCTCTTCGGGGTTCAACCGGCTGAAGGGCTTATCAGGATATATTGCCAATTATAATTTGCAATTTTGCTTTAGTTGGTGTTCTGTGTATGTTACTTGTATAATAATCTGTGTATTGGTAATTAATAATTATCATGATCACGTTATTGCTTTATTGAATACACACACTCACATATAAAAGATACATGTGTAGGTATCCGTATGATGCGTGTAGTACACGCCTAGCTTTAACACGGTGAAGTATTATCCTTACATAAAATATGCGAACGGCAGGACCACCCTGAAATTTTAATTACAGGTTAAAATTATAGGCAGATAACCTTAGAATGTTTATTTTGAGTCTATTATAATTAAGGGATGATACAATGTACAACGTCGTTCATTTTGTATATATAGCGTATGCCAGGAGAAAAAAAGGTGTGTCGCCACTAGAAGACACTGGCTCACTCCTAACTTAGATAGAAGTACCGCATGAAAATTAGGACTTATTTCAAGTCAATTTCCGGCGAGTATTATCATTTAACATGGCTACATTATATTTATGAATATGATTCTTGATAAATTATCTGTAGTAAACAAACTGTATATCGTAATGAAAAGAGGGCATAACGAAAATTACTATTATTGTTCAACAAATGAGCAAATAATTCATCGCGTAGAACATTTATCAGAAATCAACATATACAAACAAAAACAATAACCTTCCGCAATAAAGTTATGTTTTGTACATAAACACAAATGAAATAACAACATAGATCTTAACAAGATAAATCGTTACGAGATGTGCCGTAAAAATCGACTATCATTTTCCTTATATCCTCATTGAACCAAATTGATAAGGATATTATATAATTTATATGCGTGTTATTGTTTTGTCTAGACAAAGAGAATGCCAGGCAAGGAATGCCACACCGACTGACGATAACGCCATCCCTGTGATTACTTCACCTACTTACGAGTTTCTGAATTACTATATTTTGGCGCGATTTCTCTCACTATCGATGGTCCCAGTAACCTATAGTGTATTTCCTATGATAATGGCAGGCCAAGGTTATCTTTACTGTAACAAAGTGGTATAGGTCTTTTTTTTTTTTTATATCATTGTTAGCAAATACTCAGTGGTAAATTGTATTCTGAATCAGCGGTCGATTCCTACACTACTGAGTGTAACCGACCACGTGAAAAAAATTGTATTTAACGACGTTAGGTAATAATAGATGTACAAAATAAATATTTCATTTGTTTGGGTTTTTTTTCGTTTTTGTTTTTCTTGTTTTTTGTTTTGTTTTGTTTTTGTGATGTTTTATTTTTGTAATATTCATTTGTTTCTTTACTTACTTTGTTTTTTTAGAGAGGTAAGTTTTGACCACAATTAGTGAAAGATATACCGTTTGTACATTAATAATTGATACAAAAACTTATCTTTTTTAATTCAATAAATACAAATGTCTAAAAATAATGTCGGAACATTATATACCAGGGGTCATAATTATTATAAACATTGCCATTCCGTTTCTATTCGTGTTGATTGAATTATAGTGATCAACTGCTTTCAATATTAAGTAATAACAGTGTATTTTGAAGAAAATTTTAACTTTGACGCAAGCCCCATTTCTAATATATCCAAAATGACTCAACCTCCTATTTCACTGACATTGCAAATATATTGTTACCATGTAAAAAAGAACGCTACATTTTATATTTTGACACTGCATGGAACAAGTCATTCTTTACTTTATTTGCAAAGTATCACGTCTATTTCTTAATCATTTCTAAGAAATAACTGTTTTCTTTATTGTTATAAATTGATGTGACGATGTATTTAAATCACTATATATTGTAATCGATGGATTTGTTATCTTCTTATTTTTTGTATTCATTTTAATACTATGAACGTAGATGCATGGTAAATACTGTATTAGATTTATATGAGAAGGATGAGTAATAGAAAAAAAGTCAAAGAGACAGGGGGGGGGGGATACAAGTAGTTGCCGAACGACAGCTCTACTTAACAAGACGGTACTCTAGCGTTCATACTAAGTCCAACATAAATAGTGTACTCTTCCGTACACCATCGGTAGTACATAAAGAATACATGGTCAGTGTCTTAAAATATAAGCTGTATTTTGGCGAGAGTGAAGAAAGACAAGAGCGGCGAGTCACTTATGTCTTTCTGTCCCGATACAAAATACGGCTTATCTTTGAAGACACTGGCCATGTATTCTATCTGTCCTGCAACATTGACTGACAATCAGAAAATCAAAAACTTCTGAAGTGCTGTTGTTCAATCTTTGTTAACGTGTCGTTGACGTTACGCTGAATTTTGCCTGATGACGCACGCCAAAATGTTTGCTCCGCGTTGAAATGTAGTTCCAAACATCGACGGATATGACAGCGATTTTATGAATTTTCGTAAATAAAATTATTGATTACAACGTATAAAATTGATTATTTCAACAGTTATTTAAATTACTAAACGTGATTCTAAAGTAAATTCAGAAAGTCAATCTGTTGAATTACCTCACGTGCTAAGATACAGATGTTTTCCGTTGCTGCCGAATACAGCAAAAATATAGGTGGCAGGTTAATTCCGATAACGGCAGTGCTAGTTGCAGGATAAATGATAATACTGCACCCTAAAATACATTCCTAGTATTGCAGGGAAATATTGTACTCTACCGTTCAAGGAAATCAATTCAAATAAAACTGTACCCAACGTACATCCCCAGGAATACACGATGATAGTATACACTACCGTACACCACCAGTAATACATGATAATATTGTACACTACCGTACACCTCCAGTTATACATGATAATACTGTACACTACCGTGCACTTCCGGTAATACATGATAATACTGTACCCTACCGTGTACCACCAGTTATACATGATAATACTGTACCCTACCTTGTACCACCAGTAATACATGATAATACTGTACACTACCGTACACTTCCGGTAATACATGATAATACTGTACCCTACCGTACACTTCCGGTAATACATGATAATACTGTACACTACCGTACAATTCAAGTGATACACTATAATATTGTACCCTACCGTTCACCACCAGTAGTACATGATAATACTGTCCCCTACCGTACATCTCCAGTAATACATGATAATACTGTACCCTACCGTACACTTCCGGCAATACATGATAATACTGTACACTACCGTACAATTCAAGTGATACACTATAGTACTGTACACTACCGTACACCACCAGTTATACATGATAATACTGTACCCTACCGTGTACCACCAGTTATACATGATAATACTTTACCCTACCGTACACCACCAGTTATACATGATAATACTGTACCCTACCGTACATCACCAGTTATACATGATATTACTGTACCCTATCGTTCACATTCCAGTGATACACTATAATACTGTACACTACCGTTCACCTCCAGTATTACACGATAACACTGTACACTACCCTACACCACCATTAATACATGATAATACTGTACACTACCCTACACCACCAGTAATACACGATAAAACTGTACCCTACCGTACAATTCAAGTGATAAACTGTAATACTGTACACTACCGTACACCACCAGTGATACATGATAATACTGTACCCTTCCGTACATCACCAGTTATACATGATAATACTGTACCCTACCGTACATCTCCAGTATTACACGATAACACTGTACACTACCCTACACCACCATTAATACACGATAATACTCTACCCAACCTACACCACCAGTGATACATGATAATACTGTACCCTTCCGTACATCACCAGTTATACATGATATTACTGTACCCTATCGTTCACATTCCAGTGATACACTATAATACTGTACACTACCGTTCACCTCCAGTATTACACGATAATACTGTACACTACCCTACACCACCATTAATACATGATAATACTGTACACTACCGTACACTTCCAGTGATACACTATAATACTTTATTCTACCGTACACTTCCAGTGATACACTATAATACTGTACCTTTCCGTACACACCCAATAACACATGATAATACAGTACTTTAGCTATCATTCCCCTTAGTAAACCATTGCAGCCTACCATATACCCCGCTATCGTATACCCTGAGTGTAACATTATATCATTGTAACCTTGTGTTCACTACATATTATATATATAAAGTATTGCGTACCGTATACCCTGAGTAATACGTGGCGGATGTATTTCTTCCGCGATGAAATGGCGCATTCATATACACCCCCGTCCCTAAGTCGGACGTCCCGGATCCGGAGATTCCACTCGTGCCTTCGGGGGTTCCTGGTGACGTTGAATCTTGGGTCCGGACTGTAGATATATTCTCCGAAACTGATTGGGTTAGGCTCCGATGTTCGCCGCCACACAACCTGGAAATGAAAGGAATGTTATTGAAGATACATAAATATACAGTTCAATATTTTCTGTCTCCTGGATTTCGGAACAAGAACCCTTTTATACTGATTTTTTGGGTACATGTGCAACGTATTTAGGAGTATTTGCTTAACATTTTCATTTGAATATTGATTGGAGACTTATAATTCGTTTTTATTTAAACAATAAGATTGATAACATGTCCATACGTTTTGCTGACACAGTTGCTCGCATAGCTTGTGTTTACTTTGTTATCAGCCGTAGCACACTAATATCCTATTCTCTGTAACAACATGTATTTTCAGCGTTTACAACCTCTTAAGTACAGTTGTGGTAAGGCATAACGCACCGCACACTTGGTACGCACATAAATGGATATCCACACTTATCTGTAAGTCATTTCTAAATTTAAAATCAACAAACATAGAATCAGACCCAAACAACTTGCGTACAAATGTGCGATAGCTTATTTCGTCCAACTTTCCTATCGTGCGCACATCGCGCATAGGTCGTGCGCATATCGTGCGCACATCGTCGCACACCGCACATCGTGTAACGTTGTGTGATCTTACAACTGTGTATGGTGGTTGGCCATTCTCTAAATGTCAAATGCAAAAAAGCCGGATATCTAATAGCGTTTTCTATGTGCTAGTCAATTTTACCACACTTTCTAAATATTATTGAAATGTTTGGATTTGCGGGAATGTATTCATTAATAATTCGGGGTATTAAATACACCTTACACACGTAGATACACATTATTTTACTAATAACACCGGTAAATCGGAACCTAACACTACATTTCCATTCAAGAAGTAAATTATCTGTATGTTTTGTACAGGCATCTATAGGTTTTCTAGGACTCAAAAATCTTAATGGTACGTCACTTTATCTCATTACCTCAAACGTACTTGTAAAATGTAGAAATGAAATAGGGGACGAACGTTTTGGGATTGAAATGCGTTTGGAAAGAATATCAGATCGATCAGTATTGTACATGTCGAATTTAAAAGCACAGCATTACTATTAAATCTGTTATGCATTTAAGTTACAGCTTACTTCAACTGCCATGGGCTGTTGCCATTTGTGACGCTGACAACGCCAAGATGGCGCCAAAAAGTCACATTGGTTCCATCGCTGTGGCATTTTACACAGTTGATGGCTACAAATTATCAAATTAGAATTTTATGTCTGATAAAATAAAATAAAAATAAAAAAATAAAAATACTCAACATGAAACAATACTTTTGTGTATAGAGAAAGTTCCACATCCATCTGTACATTACGTTAATTTTTTTTTTATTTCTTAATTCTTAGATGTATATCTTGTGCTAAAATCTGATAATTTCTTGCTTTTGCGCTGCGATCATCGATCATCATAATCAATTTTGTGGTACTTAGGCTCCTATTAATAGCTGAGACATACCAGAAAGGAGGATATCCAGGGTCTCGTACAACAAACAGTCTCGATAACAAAACGCCTCGCCACAAGGTTTCGTTCACACCACAAGGTATTATATTACTAGTGTTGATTAAAATCCTATCTGTAATTTCGTTTTTCCTCTCCACATTAAATCGCATTTATCTTGACACCCTCGTCGACACTAGTATTCGTATTCATTGCCAATTGTTCCAACTTGAATGGTGTTAAAATGGCCGATGAGGATAAAAGTGCATAAGTGAAAAAAATATTTGTGACCTGTTTCGGAAGCATTTTGGGAAAACACGTTTAAAAAAAAACAGATACAAAATTAATTGAAGAGGTTGGAATTGCCGGGAGGCAATGTCTTATCAAAGAGAATCTGCCACCTATCACATCGTTTGATGATCACTTGCGAATAGCAATTGCAATTACTTCTGAACCCACAGTATTCATTGTACGTTTAGTTATGTCCGTATTCGTTTATATATGCTCATAATGTATATCATTTGTATTAACCTGTGATAGGTACCTGTATATAAAAAGTATCAGCCATTATCAAACGTCATCAGACATGAAACGTCACTGGACATCATTACCCATCATAATTCTTCATCAGATATTAAACGTCATGAGATAACAGTTATGAGCAGACACAAAACGTCATCAAACATCATCAAACGTAATCAGACACAAAACGTCATCAAACATCATCAAACGTCAGTGTATATTTGACGTCATCAGACACAAAACGTCATTACACATCATCAAATGCCATTATGCATTTAACGTCATCAGACAGCAAACGTCATAACACATCATCAAACGTCAGCATGCGTTTTACGTCATCAAACAGCAAACGTCATCAGATATCACACTTCATCAGGCAGTTTTGGCTTTGAAGTAGAAAAGGTTTTTCTGTTGTATCAGGGTCAAAGATGATTTGCTAGCCACTGTCACAAAACTTCATTCTTTGATCTCCGACTAATGACGTAAACAAACCATCTGTCAGGTTTGTGCACTTTGAGTTCCTCCCTCCAATGTGTGACACTACACATATCCGTTTGGACTGTGAAGAGCCCACTCATAAACGAATTTTGAATTACTGAAATTGGCGCGAATGAGCTGTCAATGACGTGAGGTCATGCCATGTAAACTGTCACCCGAAGCAATATACTATAAAAAAAATCCTTGTTATTGAAACTTATCAAAGAAAATAATTCTGAGCGCTGATCAGAATAGCGTTAGTTCCACGCTGCTACGCACATTCGTTCAGTTTGCATTTTTTTTTATACCAGCATGAAGCTAAAATATTCCTATCCCAGCTTAATTAAACGTCACCAGACATGATAAAATGTCAGCAAACATCATCAGACATCGAATGTCATCCGAGATCATGTGTATTTTCATTATCATTTTCGTAGGCGTCATTTAATTCATCTGGAGTATTTATTTAAGCAACATCTGGATAGTAAATGTTCAATATTAGCTTGACATACAACGACTATTAGAACTTTTCCAGAGAAGACAAATAAAATACCACTGCTGCTCGCCAATTTAACTTCTGGCATTTGTGCACGTGATCGTGTTTCCGTGTCTGGTATTATGAAATAGGGATAGAATAGTTCTTAGTCTGGTATCACGTGCGGAGAATTTGGATGTTTTTTTTATATAAATGACATAGCAAAGAATGCTAAACTTAGATTTATTAACGGTCGACTGTTGATTTAAAGAGCTGCACTTTACATTAAGGCTAGCTTCTGAGTAAACAGTAGTCTGTCAGACACATTGACGGTCATCACGACATCACGCGGTACCTGGGGAAAGTCACGTGATAAACTATAGGAATACAGACATTATTTGTGAGAGTTTTGATGCGCTTTGGGACATCATCTTGGTGGTCAATAAAAGCGAGGAGGAGAAGGCGTGTCGTCCAATACATCACAAGTCATAGGGATTATTGATATGGTGCAAGGACATTCGGTGAAAAATTACCCCTAGGGACATACGGACGCAGAGACAGTCACGTAGGATTGAAAGGAAATGTCAAAGGCAAGACATGATGTTATAGACAACATACACACGATATACCCCCTAATGAGTTTAAACAGAATTCGTAATCCCTTTGTTTTAGTTTAAATATGAGTAGCTTTCTCACGTGTCGCGTTTTGAGTAAATGTAAACAGTTGTTGCGGTTGATTATTACTGCCTTATAAGGAAATGGGTAGTGCCTACACCTTACAAACTGATCATAATGACATTACGGTAAGTATGGATTTCATAAAACAAAACGCAGGCTTTGTTTCATTTGTAAATTTGATGTTTTACAGAATAAAATCCTGATTTTTTTTCAATGAACAATTATTTTGATAGAGTCAATGAGACGTTTTCATTCCTAGACTAAATCTTTAATCTGAAGCAAATTGATAATGATAAAAACAGCTGTTCAAGTGAAAATGCATCTTATCCAGTTAACAAGAAATCAGAATAAATCTGTTGGACATATACCTGTGCAAAAAAGGCATTGGTAGCAAAAATTGTATTTGTAAACAAGACAATAATAACAATTAGCTGATCTTGTAAACAAGACATTAATAACAATTAGCTGTACCTGTAAACAAGACATTGATAACAATTAGCTGTACCTGTAAACAAGACATTGATAACAATTAGCTGTACCTGTAAACAAGACATTGATAACAATTAGCTGTACCTGTAAACAAGACATTGATAACAATTAGCTGTACCTGTAAACAAGACATTGATAACAATTAGCTGTACCTGTAAACAAGACATTGATAACAATTAGCTGTACCTGTAAACAAGACATTGATAACAATTAGCTGTACCTGTAAACAAGACATTGATAACAATTAGCTGTACCTGTAAACAAGACATTGATAACAATTAGCTGATAACAATTAGCTGTACCTGTAAACAAGACATTGATAACAATTAGCTGTACCTGTAAACAAGACATTGATAACAATTAGCTGTACCTGTAAACAAGACATTGATAACAATTAGCTGTACCTGTAAACAAGACATTGATAACAATTAGCTGTACCTGTAAACAAGACATTGATAACAATTAGCTGTACATGTAAACAAGACATTGATAACAATTAGCTGTACCTGTAAACAAGACATTGATAACAATTAGCTGTACCTGTAAACAAGACATTGATAACAATTAGCTGTACCTGTTAAAAAAACATTGATAACAATTAGCTGTACCTGTAAACAAGACATTGATAACAATTAGCTGTACCTGTAAACAAGACATTGATAACAATTAGCTGTACCTGTAAACAAGACATTGATAACAATTAGCTGTACCTGTAAACAAGACATTGATAACAATTAGCTGTACCTGTAAACAAGACATTGATAACAATTAGCTGTACCTGTAAACAAGACATTGATAACAATTAGCTGTACCTGTAAACAAGACATTGATAACAATTAGCTGTACCTGTAAACAAGACATTGATAACAATTAAACAAGACTGATAACAATTAGCTGTACCTGTAAACAAGACATTGATAACAATTAGCTGTACCTGTAACAATTAG